AACTCTTCTTAAGAAGAGCCAGACCTGTTGAGTTTTTCAAGAAATAAAGTGAATTACTTTGAAAACCAAAAAAACTGCAGATGCTGTAAATCAGAAACAAAAACAAAGTTGCTGGAAAAGCTCAGCAGGTCTGGCAGCATCTGTGAAGGAAAAATCAGAGTTAACGTTTCAGGTCCGGTGACCCTTCCTCAGAACGGAATTACTTTGAATTTTCTCCACTCTGCACAGACAGTGAGGTGTAGGAAACACATGGCACTGAGGTAGATTAGTTTTAAATGGCCTTGTGAACTAATTTACGGAATTCCAAAGTTAATTTTTAGGCACTAAAAGACAACTATGGAGAGCTGTAGAAATGGTTGGTGGTTGGAACATTACTAGAAAAGGCCACTTAAGGATTGTTGAAAGCATATCAATGGCTCACAGTATATCATCAGGCCAAAAAAGAAGCTTAAACAAGGTTGGAATGTGGAATAATTCAGTTTCAGGAAATGAAGATAGTCCAAATGATTCATCGTGTGGAATGACAGCTTCTTTGTGACCACGAATTTTGGTGAGTGTAGTATTACTCTGTCAAGATATATTCTAAAATTGTAGTTATTATCATTCAATATTGTATAAAATGTGCATCATTATAATTTACATACAAGGGCTTTGAGTAAAAGATTTAAATTTATCTAGCCCATATTCAGACATTTTTTTGCAATGTCAAATGTTTGTTTTGGTGAATTTAATGATCATTGACGTAAGGGATGCAGCTCTAGAGAACAGATTATTTTTCCATTTTACAAACTCACTCAGTTTCTACATTAAGCACAGCAGTGTCAGGTATGGAATGGCGAGATGCATTAAAGTTCGTACATTCTTTGCCCATAGTAAATCTCTCAGGGGAATTTTATGCTGTGTTTTATTGTTTTTTAATGTACGATTTTTAATGGACCATTTTTCCAATTCCAATGTAAGCAATATTATTGCCTTGCTGAGTGGGATTCTCATTTGCAGTGATTAACTTGGGCAGGGAGAGGATGCTTTCAAACATCTATCTGGGCTTCATAAAAACAGAAACAGAAGCTCCTCAGGTCCAGCAGCATCCGCAGAAAGGAAGTGTTAATGTATAGAGTCCAATGCCTCGTTTTCTACTCCTATCTGTCTGAGTTAGGTGCAAGATACATTTTCGCCCATTATTGCATCCTTGCCTAAAATTGAACACTCATCTTTGATGATCGGTGTTCTTTGTAATCTTATTATAATATTGTTCTTCAATTTATGTAGAGCCTGGTTTGAATTTAACACAGTCATCCTTATATCTCAACAGCAATCTTTGGGTTCGCTGACAAGAATGTCTACCTGGTATGAAGACTCTGGTATAACAGAGAGAGGCATAGTTATAGTGATGGAGTGAACTTATAGGCTGTAAACGATCATTTTATCAGGGAGGGTATCTATTATGATGCAAACACAGACCATTTATATGTGTCCTTTCATCTCTTCTATCAGAATCCTAGGGTGTACAAAAGGAATGCTCCTCATATTTTAGACATATTTTAAAGTTATAACTGAGAACTGGGTGGCATGGTGACTCAGTGGTTAGCACTGCTGCCTCACAGTGCCAGGGACCTGGGTTTGATTCTCACCTCGGGTGACTGTCTGTGTGGAGTTTGCACATTCTCCCTGTGTTGATGTGGGTTTCCTCATGGTGGTCTGCTTTTCTCCCACAATCCAAAGATGTGCAGGTTAGGTGAATTGGCCATGCTAAATTGCCCCTAGAGTTCAGGGATGTGTCGATTAGGTGGGTTAAAGGGGAATGAAGGGATGTTCTTTAGAGGGTTGGTGTGGACTTGTTGGGCCGAATGGCCTGTTTCCACACTGTAGGGATTCTATGTCAATCAGAACCAAAGGGAAACAAGCAGAAAACAAATCATTTTGCATTACCCTGGGAACTGGTTATGTTTGCATTATCCTGGTTATTGTTGCTCCCTGCTTGATGTGCTGTACACATTATTGTAATGTACAAAGCTCTCTCAATCCTACAGTGGAAAACTATGTCAGCTGAAGATCTTCCTCAAGTAAGTTTGAGGTACTGTTTGGTAGCAGAGGTGAATGTGTACCTCTGTCACAAAGATCATCATGTGGAAGATCTTTACTGAAGATTCTCCATCTGGACTTTTCAAACATAAGTATTTGAATCTGTGAATGGAAGTGTAACTGGTTTAGTAACACCATATTTTACAAAATCAGAAGTCAATTTAAAGAGATTTCAGTTTATATTTTGAAATTTAATACATTGATTTATATTGCCCTTTAAATAAAGTTCTAATGTTCTAAATGATTCATTTTTTGCATATTTTAGGCTAAAATGTCATGCAGCAAATTTAACTGTTAAGGTTATAATTTCTTACATTTTTCAAATGCGACTTGTGTGTACCATAGGTGCTCAAAAATGTATACCTGACTTGCCTGAGTGGACATTGTTTTACTGGTTCTTATCTATTGCTGAGAATAAAAGCCTCATGTTGGCTGTGCCTGATTACTGAGTCTTCCTTCTTCACTGACATTTTACATGAAACTTGGACACAGAACACAAATCGGGTGACACAACTTGCCCTAAGTGATTATTGAATAATTTGACATGTCTGTCCACACAGCCTTCTACTGTATTATCAGACAGAACTTCCCAATATGTTAACACAGTTTATGGTTGTGTCACTTTTATAAATGCAGAAAAATAAGTTAATACCATTAATTTTCACAAATGCATTTTGCAAAGATACTATTCCTTGTTGCATTCAGTTATTCTTGTACTGGCAAAATTTACATTATAAAATGTTAGTACTTTGCAGTTTGTACCATTGATTTTCTATTGTGTTTGTGAGGAGAAATAAATTATACGTTTTGTTTACATTTTAGGAAAACTATTTCATAAATGTTGGCAATAATACCTGATTTGAGTTCCATCTGTAGAAGCATAAAGTAATTCTACAATGATTGGATCTGTCTTGACAACATGTTAAATCGGTAAATTTCAGTTCTGTGGAAAGGCTATTCAACTCAAATAGACATGATGCAAACATTGCAAATTGGAGAAAAACCGTTTTAACTCTCAAATCTCCCACAACATTGAAAATATTGACTGGTTTTGTTATGATTTGGGAGTTAAAGGTGCAAATAGTTATTGCACTGCAGTCATTTCTGCTGAATTGGCTGGTATCAGATCAGGCAGTCTTTTGGACATATTAATAACCCTGAGTCAGAGACGGGGAAAGCTAGCAAGGTTCAAAAATATTTCACATACATTTAGACAATGGCAAGAACAAGCTTAAATTGATATCTTCCACAGTTGAGTCCACTAACCTTCATTGCCTGGGCTGCATATGAAAGTTAAACATGATTGAAGTACTAGATAGTTGGCTCTTTCAGGATACAGTACCTCAGCAAGATTAGTATGTGGAAATTGAGCGTGAAAAATTGCACATATACATGTTTCTCTTAAAAAAAAATACAATAGGAACAAATAAAGGTGAAACTCAGTAGAGGACAATACGTGCAACATTTTGTGCTAACTCAACATTATTATTATTCACAATTTCCCTTGGTGATTTTCCCTGTCTGAATGATGTTATGTAAGTATAAGGCCAAAGAAATAAATATTTTACTTAAGAGCTTCCATCTCATTGAGGAGGCTTCAGGCTAATTTATTCCCAACAACCTGTTCAGAAAGTTCTGCTCACATTTTGATAGCTGTGACAAATTTCACCATAACAACTTAAACAACCAACCAATCTAAATTAAACAATCCACATCATTAAAAAATATTCCATGAATGAGATTAGAATCCTCATCTTTGTCAAAAACTAATCAGTTCTCCCAATACCCTATCTGTATTTCTCGTTTTGTTGAAACCTTGAAATTGGTTTTGAGATTGTCTGTAAACAATCTTTACAAGTGGTCCCTCCCACTACTTTGAGTGGCAGAGATAATTATTATTTATGTTCTGGTGGCATGGAATGAGGTGTAGCAACATGCTATACCCTATTTCCAATATTTCAACCATGTCATGGTATCAATATTGCCTTGATTTCTCAGAAAAACACTTTCACTCATGTTCTTGCAGTTTGTAACAAATAGGAATATGGTCAAGTTCCTGAGGTCAAGTTGCTAACTGGACACCTTGGATTTAGTGAGTTTTGGGGCAAGCAGATTTGTAAAAGGAAGAAAGTATATTGTAACACCAGAAGTCCAATTCCTATTGGATTCAAAAATCCAATTCCTAATAGTAAATTAATCTTCTTAATCATTTTTCCATAAATTTTTGAATGCTTTTGGCTTCACTATCTTGTCTTAACAACATCCTCCCAGTTACACTTTTAATTTGCTTTTCACGAATTATATCCTTAGATCCTCATTGCCTACTTAATTTTGAAAACAAAACAGTTAATGGAAAAATGAAAATATAAGTAACTCTGTGATGTTCCCTGTCATCAATGAATACCTGTGGCATTTGTGACTCAGGGTGCATTCTGTTCAAATGCTAAAGAAAGATGTCCTGTATGTGACACTTTTAACAAAATATAACCCTGTTTATAGAGAACCGGTCTACTGTAAATCTAGGACAGTAGTTTCAGATACACAATAGCAATAGAACAGGCTAACCTATGGTTATGATTGAAAAAAAGAGGTTGGCTGTAGCCAAGATATTGGCTTATTTGCCAATTGTTGCACTAGAAAGATGACTAATACTTTTGATAGAGCACAAAAGTACTTCATTAATACCACCGTATGACTTTGTTAAATATCACGCTCAAAGGAAATCTTCCCCCATCCCGATTGTTCTGTTTTGATGTATGCGCCAGGGACACACACATCGGCGTTTTGGTTATTGATAGTTCATTTACTCAAAGTAAGTCCAGTTTAGTGTCAGCTTAAATCTTGCCCTCACAACAAAAAACAAATCAACGACATCAGAAAAACAGCATGACAGTAATTGTTCTAACTTTTTTTTCCAGACCTCCCTGGTTCATTTGTTGAAGACTGTGCGTCTGTTGCGGTTGCTGCGTTTATTACAAAAGCTTGATCGATACTCCCAGTACAGCGCTATGGTCCTCACACTTCTAATGTCAATGTTTGCACTGCTTGCTCACTGGATGGCCTGCATTTGGTACGTGATTGGCAAGAAGGAGATGGAAATGAATGATCCACACACGTGGGACATTGGTAAGATTAGACAAATATTCGACTTACATCTATATATCTTGGAATTTAACCAGTCCAAGTATTTGTACGCTGGCAGCTGAGCATTACCCACATTCAGAAACACTCTGGATGCATTTTTGTTTGAAAATGTCTTGAATATTGACTCCAATTTAGTCGATTGCAGGAAGCTTAGATAATAATAGATAATTGATTTTGATGCATATTTCAGATCTGAGGATACTGTTTTATTTCGAAATCCATGAGTGCTATGCTGTGTTGAACATAATGTTGCTAAAATGAAGTTGCATGTAACCTTCAGTACCAACAGTTGCTGTGTCTTCCTGAGGTCAATTAGAGGTTTTTATCAAGAGCCAATTGGCAATAAAATTGGCTGTCTTTACTTAGAAGAAAACTGTGACACAGAAATTTTGTTCATGTGGCATCTGTCTTTGCACTGTTAGTGCTAAAGCCCAGATTCTCCTATTGGTGTTAATTCAACATTGGTAACAACATATTTATATCGAACAGTTGGAAAATCTAGGCACATATGACATTCTTATTTATTACCAAAGTGCCATTGAGTCAACACAACGGCACGCTGTGCCATTTTTTTTCAATTATTTATCTTGGTGGGTTTTGTTGTCTTGCCAAGGGTTAATATTATGATTCTGGGAAAGCAGTAGAATGGTGATGATCCAACTGTCATATTGAACCTACTCAAAGACATAGCATAATACTGCCAAGTCTGTTAGCTACAGTCTACCTCCTGCAGCAATCAAATTTCAAATTAGAGAAATAAAAATTGATTGGGCATAAAAGACAGAAGCAATAAATTAAGCCAAAGTGTTTCTTCTGACAATGATTGTCAATTAAGCCCTTATGCCATATTGTGAAAAGCATCACATCACTTTTAACACTATTAAAATTTCATTAAATTGAATTCAAAACATGAAATGTATTTGCTCAGCTATATCAACTCGACAGGAAATGTTGGCATTCTGGTTCCGAGATACTGAAGCAAGTTACACACAATAATTCTCACTGTTCAATTTTATGAGTATCCTATATTTGTGCATGCTTTTGGAATAGGTAATCTTCTCGCAACAGATAAATAGGCGCAGTTATATGTAAAGAACACTCAATTTTTAAGAGAGTAACTGTTAATGGATGACAAATTTTCACACTAAATGTAGCCAATTAATTGTAGCCAACATTGTCTTTTACAAGAAATATTTTTTGTGTTCATTGAAAACACCAAAGATCATTTGTTGGGCTGTTCCTATGTGTCTAAAGATATATCTGTTCATTGTTTTAATCAATCACCCTCCAGAAGCCAAACATCACCTTTCTAAAGCCAGTAAGCCCCAGCTATAATATCTGGAACTAAGAATTGCTATCTCAGGATAAGTAGGTCAACTGTAAAGCACTTAGTTGAGGAGAAGGTTTCTTTCACTCAGAGGATAGTGGATGTTTGGAATTCTCGATCCTAGCAGCCTGTTAATGCTTAGTCTTCGATTTACTTCAACATCAAGGCTGATACATTTTTGGACTCTCAGGGATTAAGGGTTATGGGGACATAATGGGAAAGTAGAGTCAAGGCAATCAATCATATCGGTCAGAACTGCACAAGTTAGACAATGCTAAAAAGAGAGTCAAAGCTTTTCATCTTGAACTTTTCAGAACTAAAACACAAGGGAAACAACTTTAGAAAGGGAACAACAAATGATATAGCATGAGAAGATGGTGCTGATTGGTTTGACTATGGTTAGCATGGAGATTTAGCAGGAACTGTTAACTGCCTTAGTTAACTGATTAAATCCATCCAGACAAATCAACCTGACCATTGGACAAAGTGAATGTTTAAGCTGGTGGCTGAGGTACCAGTCACCAGTTCTGAAGAAAGGTCACTGGACCTGAAATGTTGACTCTGCTTTCTCTCCACAGATGCTGCCAGACCCTCCGAGATTCTCCAACAATTTCTGTTTTTGTTTCCAATCAAACAAGTTGTTTTTTCCCTGTTGATGTTGAGTTCCTTGAGTGTTGTTGGACTAGCACTCATTCAGGCTGTTCCATTACACTCCTAACTTGATCCTTGTACCTGGTGGAAGGTACTGGGGGGTTAGGGCATGTGTTGCCCTTATTCTTATTAGGCAAGGGAAGCAAAAGTTATCAGGAGTGGAAAGAAATATGAAATGCAAAACACAAACAGATCTTATTGACTGGCAGAACAGACTTGAGGGACTGATTGATCTATTTCATTGTTGTGTCAGGAGGTAGCATTCCTCCCTAAGGGATATTAATGAACTAATTGGGTTTTTGCATCAATTCACAATTTTAAATAACAGATATTTCCAGATTCTATGATTTCTGTGTCAAAGAATGGAGCTGCACAAAAGAGTGCAGCAGATACTGCAAACTTAATGTATTACAGATTGGCTCTAGGCCACTTCCATTGTAATCCAGATGTCATATCTAGCTTATACCATCATTAGCCACCTCCAAGATTCCCTAGTCCAATGCTTCCTTTGCTGTACTTGCCACCAAGTTTTACCCACAATCCTCAAGATGTTAAAATCCTGATGCCTCCAGTTTCTCACTGTTAGACTAACAGATTCAGACTAAAAATAATGGATTAATTTATTAACAAATAGTACAATTACACAGATGCAGCCAAAAGCAGCAGGAAACTATTGGGACACTATCTGAATTATAACATAAACTGCAAACCAGGGCAGGACTTATGCAGTTAATGGTAGGGTCCTGGGGAGTGTAGTCGAACAAAGAATCCTAAGGGTGCACGTGTGTAGTTCCTTGAAAGTGGAGTCACAGGTAGACAGGGTGGTGAAGAAGGCATTTGGCATGCTTGCCATCATTGGTCAGAACATTGGGTATAGGAGTTGAGATGTCACATTGTGGCTGTACAGGATATTGGTGAGGCTACTTTTAGAGTACTGTGTACAATTCTGGTCACCCTTCTGTAGGGAGGATGTTGTTAAACTTGAGACGGTGCAGAAAAGATTTATAAGGATGTCGGTGGGACTGAAGAGTTTGAGTTATAAGGGGTGGCTGAATAAGCTGGGACATTTTTCCCTGGAGAGTCAGAGGCAGAGGGGTGATCTTACAGAGGTTTTTAAAATCATGAAGGGCATGGATAGGGTGGATAGCCAAGGTCTTTTTCCTAGAATGGGGAATTCAAAACTAGGGGTTATAGGTTGATGTTGAGAGGGGAAAGATTTAAAAAGAACCTGAGGGTTAACTTTTTCATACAGAGGGTGGGGCGTGTACGCATGTAGCTGCCAGAGTAAGTGGTGGAAGCTGGTACAATTACAACATTTAAAATGCATCTGGATTGGTATATGAATAGGAAGGGTTTAGAGGGATATAAGGCAAATGCTGGCAAATGGGACCAGGTCAGATTGGGACGTCTCTTTGGCACGGACCGAAGGGTCTGCTTCTGTGCTGTATGACTCTATGTGTCTAAACTCTTTACAAACAATAAAACACACACAAACTTTAGAAAGTCAATTCAGTAATTTTTGACTCATTTTGGAACAGGCAGTCAAAGCAAGAAAAATAAATCTTTGAAATACGATCCAAACTGTTCTTTCTTTGAAGTAGTGGACAGGTTTCTTTAATCCATAAGCTGTTCAATAATGATTACTTGTGTTTCTTTTGCTCATAGACATCTTCCTAATCTATATATGTATCTACCCACTTTTAAGTTCTTACAATGTAAATCTGTAATTTATTCCCACCAAAGTTTTGTATTCTTTCCTAATTCTTAACTCTACACATATTGATTGCATCAGTTGTATTCCAACATATTTTAAAATCCTTCCCAGCTACATGCTGGCCTTAGTAATTGTGGAGTTGGTTAGTTCAGTCAGATACTTTGCAATTCATATCCTTGTTGAGATCACCATTAAAGTCTCCCCTATCAAGATTACCCATGCCTGAGGTGTTGTGATCCTCAAATTCATCTTAACACCAGTTGTTCCTCTCTAATGAGAAAGTAGCCTATGGGGATTTTCACTTCTTTTGCTTTTAATACTCCATACGTCAGGTTTCTCAGTTTTATTTGTAAGATGTGTTATGATCCCTATGGAGAGCAATAACTTTTAAAAATTTATTGAAATTTCCACTGATGGGTTAGAAAGATCACGTGAGAACATTTTAAGTTTGAAGACTTTTATTGTAACAAATAAACTAAAAGCAACATTGGCTAAACACTATTTCAGTAGGCAACTCTAAACAAAAGAAAAGTATTTTCCCTATTTAACTTTTAAAAAATTACTAATAGTCCCCAGCATAGTTACACCCTGTCTCTTAAGTATCTTTCATTCTGGAAGAACCAGTCCAAAGCTATTGTCAGCCCCTGATATCTTGCTTCCTTCTTTAGGTGTGATGATCTACTGAATGCCTGTGTGTCCAGTTGTTTTTTTGGGAAGTCTAAATGCAAACTTGTATGCATGTCTTGCCCATATGAGATTTAATATATTTGTTACTTTTTGAACTTCTAATTATCCTTTCACCAGGCTGGTTAAATGAGCTTGGAAAACGGTTAGAGATGCCATACACAAACAACTCAATTGGTGGCCCGTCTGTCAGAAGTGCCTACATTGCTGCCCTCTACTTCACCCTGAGCAGCTTAACCAGCGTCGGCTTTGGAAATGTTTCAGCAAATACAGATGCAGAGAAGATATTTTCAATTTGCACAATGCTTATAGGAGGTAAGTAACTTCGCTCCAGCCACATTTTTCTCCAATGCAAACATATGAAAGTAATAAGCAGGACAAAACCTTTCAGTTCTTCAAACCAATTTCACATATTTAACAGATAAAGTACCCTGACAAGATAACCACGACACTCTACTTTCCCCTGGCCCCATGTCCACAGCTGTACGATTTCCTGGGAGAGGGAAAAATCCAGTGACAATGGAGAGATGTGGATGGGATGGAAAAGATAAATCTCTCAGAAACTGCTCTCTGAGCTAAGCAAGTAATCAGGAACTGCGTAGGAAACTACATGGACAGATGTATTCATTGCTTAGGGATAGCAAGGACTGCAGTTGCTGGAGTCATTGCTAATCTATTCATTTAATACTTAGTGTGGTCCCTGTCCCCAAAAAGAACTGGCCTTGCTGCTTTGTGAAGGTGTGCTGTGAGTCAACACCCGATTGGTCACTCTTTCACCAAGCTTTTATTCACAGCTCTTATTATCTCCTTTAGGTCAGCATATGTTCTGTTTGGTTACATTTCTATGAAGCACCTCGTGACATTTTACTATGGTACAGGAGCTATGTTATTGCAAGTTGTTATTGTAGACATTCTGCCGCGAGGGTAAGACAATGAATAATTTATTTTATTATTCAAGATAGGTTAAAACCATCAACTGTCCACAGAAACCTCTGCACTTTCTAACTGAAATGAATGTTAAAACATAGGCTGACATAGTAATCATAATGGATGGCTATCACATCAGTTAAGTACTTCAGCTGTTGAACCAGCAATTTAGTCTTGTGAAAATGTTGGGGAAAAGAACTGTCAAATAATGATGAGTTGGTTTTTGTTCCCTCCATTATAAATTGGAATTTAACTTCCTTTCACAGCTTTGTCTATTCCATCTTTCTTTCTAGCCCTAATGCATGCCGTTGTTTTTGGGAATGTTACTGCCATCATCCAGCGCATGTACTCAAGGCGCTCACTCTATCACACACGAATGAAGGACCTGAAAGACTTTATTCGAGTTCACCACCTTCCTCAACAGCTCAAACAGAGAATGCTGGAGTATTTCCAGACAACATGGTCAGTGAATAATGGGATTGATGCCAATGAGGTAAAATGTTCTGGAATTCTGCTTTTACATTCTTTGAGTGTTGAACCTTTAACATAGCCAAAGGTCCGTTTGCCAAGTCTGGTGTTCAGTTGTTCTGTGTTTAATTTCAATGCTCACTGTGCTTGATTGCTTAAACCCAGGTGTGGATTTAGAGAAACATAAATAAGCCATAGAAAAACTTGGCAGTGAAAGCTAGAAGCACAGGAATACATGGAAATATGCAGAATTAAGCTATTTGCTTTGCCATTTAATCAGTTCGTAGCTGATCTATCTCAACACTATTTCCTGCACTGTCCCTATGTCCCTTGTCATTTCTAATATGTGGAAGTCTATTGATCTCCATTTTGAATAAACTCATCTATTCATCCTCCACAGCTCTTTGGGATTGGGAATTCCAAAGATTAACCAGCCTTAATTCTTCTTTATCTCAGTTCCCCAGCCAAGGGAAACAATTTTTCTGTGACTAACCTGCTGAGCCTTATAAGAATTCTGTCTGCTTTTTCTGTGAGATCATCATTCATTCTTCTAAAGTCTGGAGAATACAGGGCTAATGTCCAAAATTCCTCCTCACAGAAACATCCTGCCATCCCAGGAATAAGTCTGGTAAACATTCACTGCACTCCCTCTCTAGCAGGTATAAGCTTTCTTAGTTGAGGAAACCAGAACTGGGCAGAATATTCGAGGCTGTGGTGTCTCCAAGACTCTACACAACTGCAGCAAGATGTCTGTACTCCTGTATTCCAATCCTCTTGTAATAAAGGCCAACATGCTATTTGCCTTCCTAATTACTTCCTGCATCTGCATGTTAGCTTTCAGTGATTTACAAACATGGACACTCACTCAATAGTTCCCAATCACTTCTCAACACACCCTGTCATTTACATAATAGTCTTCATTTCTGTTGTTCATACCAAAATGGCCATTTTAAGTAAGCAATTTAAAGTGTTGAGAATAAAACCCTGTTACACACATTGGGGAGAATGTTCCCAAATGTTTTTAAAATATGGGGAAAACATAAAAAGCTGACTGGCAAGCGAGAGTGAATATCTCACCATTTCACAGGCCTTGAAACAGAGGCCAATGAGAGGTTGGTAGCTTCTGGATCCTAAAGTCTGCCCCTCAAAGCATGCCTCTTGTGGGATCCAGTAGTGAGAAAGTGAACTTCTGGATTTTCTTCTCCTTGCAGGCTGCGGTTCACTTGGAAAAAGAGGGTCTGAGACAAAAGCAGGAGCTGGCTTTCAGAGGCCATCTGCTTGGCCCCTACCTATGACTCTGATTGCTCCAGACCAAGGCTATTAGAGTCTTCCTGCTGTCTCCCAACTCAGCAGACAGTCACTGTAGGTTCTCAGTCAGAAAACCAGCCTCCTATCTCACTCACCAAGGAAGCAGGTAACCAGGGAGGTAGTGAGATAAGGCCATAGATGACCATTAATTAACAGAAAGCCTAGAAAGTCACCAATGGACCTTCTTACACATTACTTCATTGTTGAGGTGGCGAGAATGAAATGTGTTTCTGAACAGGACTAACTCACCACATTATTTCTCTTTCTCATTCTATCCCTCACCTCCTCCTGGGAGGGAAAAAATTGCACCCATGGAAACTAGAAAAGAGATTTTTGACCTTCAGGATATTTTTGGAGATATTTGTACTTAACATGGTCCAGCTAAATCTGGTGATGAATAATATCTACTGCACTAAACCCTGATCTCAGACTAACACTACCTTCCACATTAACACTTGAACTTAGGCTAGTGCCAACTACTGCTCCAGTACACCTCACTTTCTCATTGCAATTTTGGAGACTGAGATTGAATATAAGATATTGGAGGGTCTTCTAAGTATTGAAAGAATTCAGTGAAGGTTAGTTGTGCATTCATTTGTTCTGAGAAATTGATTAGCTTCTCGAGAAAAGAAAACCTTTTTCTAGACTGGATTAAGATTTGCAGTGAATGAAAGTTGATGTAAATTGATGCATCAATAGTGGACTTCAGGCCTGGCTAACTGTGTTGCTGTTGTAACATAGAGACATGAATTGTAAAAGTCCATCATATTGAGATTATGTTAAAGAATCTTGCATCTCTTTCTCTTGGCATGATTAACTCGAATCGAAAACTGCCTAATCAAATTAGTTATTTTTTGATATAGTGATATAATCATTGTATAAAGGCTTAAGGCTATGCAGCAGCTCTATCTAATAGGTCATGCAGTTTAACCTGCTCCTTTCATTGCACTAATGAAATTCCTGAACCAGCCTCTCTGCGGTAGCATGTAGATTTGATGCTTCTCCAGAGTTGTGTGATTGAGGAAGCAGGAATTGTAAACATGACTTGAATTACATTACTCAGTGATGTTACAGGTTGGCAGTCTAAACTGGACGCAACATTGCACAATCTGTGTGTGTTCTTTGGTTATTCTTCTCAAGAGCTATATATAATGTCTCTGAGCCTGCTAAAGAATAAAAGATAATCAATGGAAATGAATGACCTTAACGGACAGGCAAGTTTGGGAGTGGGAGGGAAAATGATTGCTCAGGAGGGTGCCAGGCTGGGACCATCCTAACCTTCCTGCCTCTGTCTACATTAAAACCTGGGGAGGAAGACAAATGGAGTGCCTCCTACCTTGTGGTCAAATGAGACCTTTAAGTGGTCAATTAATGGCCTCACCTCCCTCCCCCACCCCAAAACACACACACACAGCCACACCACTGGTATTGTATACAACAAGGAGTGTTCAGACCAGATGCTGCACAGAAAGCATGAACACAAACCCAGTTTGTTTGAGTGCTCCTGCAGAGGGGAAAGGATCTGTCATTGTTAGGCACAGAAAGAGGGACACAGCATTGGAAGATCCTGAGATCCACCCACCGGCACTAATGTCCACCTCCAACACAGCCTCCACTTTGCAACCTCTGTCCTGCCCTTTGTCACCTGTTAATACTGATCCGACAGTGTTTGCAATGCCTACAGCTACCACTGCACTCCCACTAGCACTGTCTGTAATGGAGTCAGTCTGCAATCAAATTCTAATTAGATTTTGTCAGGATTGGAGGGTCAGATTTCTGTCTCCAGTGTGCTTGATTCTGAGGAAGACCCAATGTTGGACGCTTATAAATTCTGCCAAATTATTGTCTTAAAACTGTTTTACATTGACATCTCAGCGATAGTAAGGACTGCCAATGCTGGAGTCAGAGATAACACAGTGTGGAGCTGGAGGAACACAGCAGGCCAGGCAGCATCAGAGGAGCAGGAAAGCTGATGTTTCAGAAGAAGTTTCTTCAGAAGAAGGGTCCTGACC